CTATATCCACCCTGAAGGTTAATCTTGGATAATATCTGATGATCGACTCTTTCAAATGAAACCAGAGAGCGTTGACAGAGAGGAGAAGGTAGAAATGACACAGCCTGTAACTGAAAATATGGATGGAGGACAACAGAGCTGCTTCATGGAAGAAGAACCTCAGCTTAGCACTGATGCTATATTGCCTTATATGTATTAGCTCGTTGCTAGTGCAACAAACAAGCTAAACTGAGGTCCTCCATCCATATTTTCAGTTCCAGGCTGAGTCATTTCTACCTTCTCCTCTCTGTCAACGCTCTCTGGTTTCATTTAAAAGACTCAATCGTCAGATATTGTCCAAGATTAACCTTCAGGGTGGCTATAGCTTGCTAGCAGCCTCGCACCAAGGACCTATCCACGTCATCATTCACCTAGAATGCTTTGCATGTAAATAAAATGGCCCCGACCGTGTAATATATTTTTAAACTTTTAGTTTAAAATTATAAAAAACTAAACATCCTACAGTATTTTTACAGTCTTTATTTTACAGTTAAAATAATTGTTTATTAAATAAAGTCTAATGTTACAGCTAACTGAGGATCCTTTTAAAGGTATAGCTGTGATCTTTTGCAGTAAGGTTCTGTGAAAAGCTTATGAACAAGTATTAACTGTTGTACACCTTTGAACAGCCTCAGTTTGGAGAAAAAGAGTTTAATTCTAATGGGACTGATGAGCTAATAGCTAGTTCGATTGGAGCCAAGACCAAAGTGGATTGCTGCCATCTTTTTCAGTTCCAGTCTCAACATTTAAATGGTGACTCCTGTGACTCATTTTAGAAAGGTTTATAACACTTTCAGTTTCACATTATTCTGTTTGTTTGATCAAATTTAGTTGTTATTTTGCGTGAGCAAATATTTGCAAGTGCAAATAATAGCAGAAGCAATTTTGTAGCACTTGATCTGACCATTATGTAAAAGTGACATTTTGGACATAAAATGAGTAGCTGCTAGCTTGTCAATCTTGTCAAAATTAACATATTTCTCCAAATTGTAGTTTTTTAAAGAGCTACTGCAGGTAAGATAATAATTATTAAAAAAATTCCACAGAACTCCACTTTTTAAAAATAAATTAATTCATTTCATTTAAAAACAAAACAAATGACATACATACATAATACAACACTAATAAAATGAAAGGTAGCAGAAAGAAGAAAAAAATCTTATTGATATCTGTCCTTTTTAAATAAAAATAAACAGATTGAAACAATAACAGTCTTCAAACAACAAAACATAACAAAAACATCAACTCCTTCTCGAACAACACTTCTTATGAATGCACACTATACAAATTCATATCTCCTCAACAACTAACTTTCATCATTCTCTTAAATAAAAGCTGTTGGGCCAGCATTTTTATAATCACTTTCCAGATTGTTCCACATTCTTATTCCTTGGACCGAAATACATCTGTCCTTCAAATTTGTTCGGATTTTGGGCTTTACAAACATCTCTATACCTTTAAGGTTATAATTACTTACTCTCTTAACAAAATTTAATTGAATATTTAGAGGTTTTAAATTTTTATGAGCTTTATGCATAACCTGCAACTTTAAACTTAAAACTTCACTTTAGAAGATTTGAGCTTTCATTTTAATCTTTGTTACGTAATAGTGATGATCAACCAGGACCATTTAGATTGGACTTGAAGGGCTGTTTTAGAGACACCAAAATATCTGTCACAGAATCCAGAAACTAACAGATCACGACTCAGATTCATCTCAAGTTTGTCCTTATTTAACTCTTGCTTTTGTTAAATGATCCATGGGTCTCTTCCCATATCAAATATAATTGCCTAAATCCAGTCGTTTGAGATTGTTGTAAAGAAATTTAGATTGGATTTCTTTTAAAACAGCTCAGGGCAATGAAAATAAATGTATTTTTTTTAGTTTTCAGCTCTACACAGGATGAATGTTATATCTTAAATTATAAATCTTATATTAACTGTCACCTGTTTAATCATTTTTGCTATGATGATATTTTTTCTTCTCTGGTTTATTCTGCATTTTRGTGCAGAGCAGAGTGATAAATAGAGTTCACACTAGCAGATTTATCAGGGTTTAGTGATGMGTATGTCAGAGTAATGGTACATGCTCAAAAAACACATTTAATTTTTTAAGGTTGGAGACTGTTTTAAGGTTTTAAAATATTATTTAGTTCAAGAAGGTAGATTTATGCATCTTCATACTTTGTAAATGTGATTTTTGTTTTGACATGTTTTTTTTTTAGTTACGTGGGGCTTGTCCCATTGAACACAACCATTTTGTTTAGGGTTACGTGTCTCGGTTCACGTTTTGCAAACAAATTTGTACAACATTCACCATCTGGATTATTTAATCCTTCAATGAGCTATAAAATGTGAAAACCATGAGTGATTTGTTTTTACCCAGAGCACTTGTATTTTTGAAAGAAAACATGCTCATAATAGGTATCCCTGGAGGAAATAAACCCCTGAAGCCCCCCAACCGCCCTCTACCAGCGCCGACTCAAATCTGATCCTTTTTAGCTCCACGACTCTCCAAGCCAGTGCTCTCCGAACAGCAACAATTTGATTCCCTTYAGATTTTCTAATTTTAGACAGCTCTGCAAGGCTCAGGAGCTGAACAAATAGAATAGAAATGCAGGCATTTAGGCATTTTGTGGCTGCAGTTATTGAAATGACAAAGCATGAGTGGGGCCACATGGGGGTTAAAACATTTAATGCAATAAAGCATCGTTTACCTGACAGCACTGAGGGCATGAGTAGTGAGTTGTTTATGTGAGCAGAGTACGTATTGCCTCATAGTGACCGAGCCAAGTGCAGCAGAAACAGAAAACGGACCTAAATGATAATAATGCATTGCATCTGAAACAGGCTTCTGATAAAATGCATTTATCTATCAAAATGTGCTTACAGTAACGGAAAGGGCTGTGCAGCATTTCTGAGCTGATTTTTCATACACATAAAAAGTATTTGTGGACTGCAAGAGAGGTTTTGCTCCCAGATGGAAAGCCACATCTTGGCTCAACTCTAATTAAGTAGATAATGCACTTTTTTTCTTTTTTTTTTATTAGACAAGGGCAGTGAAGACAGGAAATGTGGGGAACGCCAAGCAGTGAAGGTCCAGCAGGCTGAGAATTGATCCTGGGACTTACTGCTTGAGGGCATTTGTGCCCATGTGCTGATGCTCCTTAACAACTTAACTATCAGTCTGCCCCAGGCAAAGATTTTATATTTTTTAAAAGGATTGAGTGAAATGTGTTTAAGCCTTGATATTTCCAAGCTTTTAAGAGATGCAGACTTTTGTTGCATGCTGCTTGTGGGTAAAATCTAATTTTGCAGCTGCGGCAGATGCCATAATCATTATGAGCTAAATAAAGACATTCCTCCATTTTCTTTTGTGTCATCATGTCCATCGTCTGCGTTCACCTCATCTCCAATTCAGTCTTCACTACCATCATCATCATCGGTAACAGCATCACCTTCCTCCCCTTCCTTTTCATCATCATGAGTCGGATGCACGAGGTGAGCCCATTTACATGAAGCAATATTCTTCATTTCTCGAACCGTAATAAGAAGTATAAATTGATTTTTAGAAGTGAAGCATACCTTGTGAAAATGCAAAGAACTTTAACGGCGATTTACCCAATTATCGCACAAAAGCATTTAATGAAGTACACAAGAAGTCAGTGTGGAAGCCCCCCTCAGATTGAATATAAACTTGATATTGTCYTTTTTGCTTCAATGCAATTTCTGACAAATTCCACGAGTGAAGAAATGTTTTGTTCAAGGTTTGCCTTTTATGCTTATTACACTCTTATGTGCTTGAGGTTCACAGAAATGAGCTTCTGCAGTAATGAGATATACTGTGGCGGAGCAAGCCATTAGGAACCTCTGTGTTTACTCAATAACTTCAGGGGTGTGGGGTGGGGGAGATAAGGGGCCAGYAGAGGATATATTAGCATGTGTGTGTGGTTTCTGCTTGCGTAAGTTTTAACAAATTTGAACTTCATGTTTTGAACAAATGTGAGAAAATTTAGGAAAACCACATCTATTTTTTAAAGAATAAATGTTATTTTTAAGCGTTATGATTACCGATTGTGCATTATTGCTTCCCTTCACTCTCCCATCATATCAACTAACCATCCTCTTGTGATTTTGTCTGTTGTGTCAGATGTGAATCTGAAACTAATTCTAAATTAATTAATTTCAACATATTTATTATTATTATTTTAATTCTTTTATTCATTTCATGTAAAAATTTTACACACAATAAAGAAAAAAAAATCACACTTGAAATGAAAGGAGGCAGAAAGAAGAAAAAAAAATCTTATATCTGCCCCCTTTTTCCGAAATTATTTTCAAACAATAACAATCAAAAAACAAAACAAAATAAAAACGTCAATTCCTTTTCAAACAACTTTTGATATACATTATAGTTTCATATTTC